AGAATCTAATCATCGTCGAAGATATCGTATCTATGTTTATCATAATCGACTATATAATTCATTTAAATAGTAAAGTAAAGTAATTGGGTAATTACTTTTTAAGAACTTCGACGACCACTTAAGTTAACGTATAAGAGCATTGTCATACATTTTAAATACATCGTAACTTACAAGTATTGTAGACACAGAAAACGAGGCAGAGTTTCAATATCAACTACGATGAAAATCTGAACTGCAATTCTAAATGCATACGTCTTTATGTACAGGTACTAATAAAAACAAGAGAGAACGCTACAGTCGAGCAAGCCCGACAGTGTAATACCCTGTACCCAGGTAAACTTCCGTCACTGAGTTATATGCGCCCATAGCAGCAGCAAAAAGAGGAAGAAGAAGAGGGAACTTGTTGCTGCAGTTTGTGAGGGTTGTACTGGCGAGAATTTGTTTCGCTAATAACTTTTCTTAGAATAAACAGAATTGAATTTTAAACAACAGTAGATAATTATTTATAAATTATGTGTGCAAAGTTTGGCTTAGGTAGCATTTGAAATGTGGAAGCTATTGACGAAATTCTGCAGCGGGGGAAGGGGGGGAAAATTCCAAAAAATAAAATAAACTCGTCTTTACTCGGATCTAGGAGAATCTGGATGCCAACTTTGGTTATTCTAGCTTTTATAGTTTCTGAGATCCTCGCGTTCATCCAGACGGACGGACGGACAGACGGACGGACATGTCTAGATCGATTTCTCTCGTCATGCTGATCAATAATATATATACTTTATGGGGTCGGAGATGCTTCCTTCTGTATGTTACATACTTTGCACAAACCTAATATACCCTTTTTACCCTACGGGTACAGGGTATAAAAATGCATCAAATTTTGAATAAGATAAGAAATACCGAAACTTAGAGTTAATCTCCTTATTGAGGCAACGAAGTTGGTGGATATGTTATTAAGTCTTGTATTATTTTCAAATCACATAATATTCATAAGCATAAGAACTTCTGAACCCGTACGTTTATATTCTTCCTTTTTATTCCCAATTCTGAAGTGTAATTATATTAAACTTAAACTGGAGTAGAATCACTATTATCGGTACTTAGTTCTTAAATTTCTGAAATATGAACCCATTAACTGATAATGTTTAATAATTGAAATCATATGAATATTAGATTTCAAATCTTAAATACTACACAAATAGTGAAATGAAAACTCTAGTCTGTCGAATGGAATTCATGAAATCACGTCAACACACATGTAAAGCTATTTTTTTTTTCGTCGGGATTAAACAGGGATTCAATAGAGGTTTCAGGTGCAAAATTATACATCTGAGACGAAGAAACGATCAAAACAGTGAACAAAAAGGAAGAAAATTAATTACTTTCTTAATATTGAAGATTAAACAATTAAATAAAATTTTATTAAGTGAAAAAGTACTAATATAATACGGAATTATTAGTCTAAGAATGAGGTTTGTCATACTTAACAGATTGTACAACTTAAACTATCATTATTGAAGGTGTAACAAGAAGGGAATTGAAAACTCTAGTCTGTCGAATGGAGTTCATGAAATCACGTCAACACACATGTAAAGCTATTTTTTTCGTCGTGTAGAGCATCCCAGACATTGCCATTTATTCATTCGAACTGTTTGGTTAAGTTTCATATAATAATGACGAGTTTTTCGTTTGATTCATAGACAGGGATAAAAACAGAGGTCTCAGGTGTAAAACAATACACATAAAACGATGAAACGATCAAAACAGTCAACTAAACGAGGAGGAAAGTAATTTCTTTCTTTAATTTGAAGATTAAATAAAATTTTATATTGAGTAGTAAGTGAAAAAATACTTCTATACTTGTATATATCATTATTGAAGGTGTAACAAGAAATGAATTGAAAACTCTAGTCTGTCGAATTGAATTCATGAAATCACGTCAACACACATGTTAAGCTATTTTTTTCGTCGTGTAGAACAGCCCAGACATTGCCATTTATTCATTCGAACGGCTTGCAAATTGCTTCTCATGTGGGTTGAACTTTTAATAACAAGCAACAGTTGGAGCCAAGAGAAATCTTAGCAATTTATGTGGCTTTGGCCTCCTCTGCTCCTGCTCTTTGAGCGTGCACAATAAACACAGTTCCATCCTCTCCAATCCCATCCAATCGAATCCAAGGCAGGGAGACGCGATTCATGAATGAAGCTCCGTCAGTGTTGTTTAGGCTGGTGCAAAAATTGCAGTGCCCTAAATTGTGTGTCGGAGTCGGGGACAGAGTCTTGGTCTGAGTCTGAGAATGAGAAGAGTGTGTGTGCGTTTGGAACGCAATGCAATTACTTATCACAGTATGCTGCCAGGTCGGCTGACTGCCTCCTAGATGGTCTGGTCTGGTCTGGTCTGATCTGGACAGAGTGCACCACCACAACGTGATGCCTGAATTTGAAAATTACTTTACGGACGACCTATGCAAATGGCTAGTGCTGTGGACACGACTATTACCTGTCACATTGTCAGGTGATTGCAAAATTGTTGCGTTACACTGTCGCGTCCGTTGTTCAAATTTGTGGGAAACATCAACTGCGAGTACAGCTAACTACAATGGGGCCGTGCCGGTTGCTGGGCATTGATACGCCACCAGCCCAGCAATAAAACAGAGCAGGCCGGCAGGCGGCAGCGACAGCAGCAGCGGGCCCAGCGCGATCGTTGAGATGAAACGTGACTGGAACGTGACGTTTGTGCAAACAGGAAGATTGCACCAACAGCAAGAGCCGCAACAGTTGGCCAGGCTGGGACAGACAGTTGCGAATGTTAATACAGTTCTGCCGAGTGCTCGAACGCGCCTTGACTTGATTTGCCAGACAACGAATGAGACGAATGAGACGACTGAGCCGACCCCGTCAACATCGGTGGTGGTCAAGGTAAAGGCTGGCTGGCTGGCTCCCAACGATGGCCAACGGTACTCGCAAAATTACTTAAACGGCTGTTGTTGCCAATGACGTTGAATGCGTTGAACTTTTGTTTGCATAAATTTGTGATCTGCAGACGAGCTACGAGCTACAACCCGTGCGGTCGTCCATGCCAATGGCATCTACAAGCCACAAAGCTACAAGTTGAGATCAAAGAGGAACAAAATCTAAGGCGTTGCTCCCTCGTTCACTCACTCGCCACACTCCTCACTCCTCCTCAGTGGCGCCCATAAGCTTTATCAGCGCTTACATCATACAAGAGTACTCGTTTTTACAATATGCACGGCCATGGAAATCATTTGCATTGTAATATTTTACATTTCGCAACGTTCATGCGTAGGTTGCGCAACGACGTTCTGTTCTGTTCTGCCTGCCATACCCATACCCATACCTAATACCCATACCTATTCTCCAGCTCATTCCCATACCCCCATTCACATTCCCGTTCGTTCTCAGTGGCTGGCCATGTCCAACGGATAGCTCTGCAATTACCGCACAATGCTGTGTAATTGATGAAAGTCTCAAATCGCTATTAATGTCATCGATAGCATTTCTTGCCTTTTGTCAATAGCCAAACATTTGCATTATTCGCTGATCGCTGGAGCCCGCTGCTCCCATGTAGGTCCGTGTAGCTCCGTGTAGCTCCGTTCTGCCATAATTCAGTGCTACAAGGCGCGCAAATGTTGGCGACACAAATCAAAACATGTCACAAACAGTTGCTACGCCTCAAAATTCTTAGAAACTGCTGCCCATGGCATTCACTTCCTAGTTCAACTGTCAACGGTTCTGCTGATTTATGGGCCGTCTCATTCGACAAACTTCTGACTGATGTTTAAAGCCCTACAATACGAAACTAATACACACAAATCTACAAACTGATACTTATATTGAAGGTCTCTTTGCATACCTCAGCTCTTTTTTGAGGAAAATTTCAAGAAGTCGTTAAGTGGACAAGAAAAATGTGTGCCATAGTAGCTTTAGAACTACAAGTATTTCAAAGGTGGCAACAATTTAAAAATATTACCCGATATTGAAAACTGATCACCTCTGCAGCGAGTCGCTAAGCAGAAGGGGAATAACATAAAATGTTTAATTTTAAAAAGCATAAAAATTACTTTGTTTTTATGTTTTTATATATTTTCATAAAACATACTCGATACAGAATTGTTCAGAGATTATTTCAGAATATATTTTCATTTTAAAGTGTTATCTAAATATATGTATCACCAAAAGATTTAAAGAATCTTTATCAAAGCAAGTCTATCCAGCTATTTTCTGGTTTTGAATTCTTGTAACTATTTTTTTGACGTTAATATAACAGGAGTGTGAAAGGCATCCCTATTAATCAAAATTCAAGTCTAATCTCTGAGAGCTCTTTCAGTTGGTTCTAAGGCTCTGCTAGCTCGTAGCTTGCACGATATATTGCTTACATAAATAATCTGATATAATTAAATTAATAATAATTTAAATAGTGAAGTTAATAAATTAATGGTTTAGAATGGGCATTAGTTACTATTTCATACCCAACTAAATACATAATTAAACAAAAGATCTATTTCTTCATCAATTATCTTTGCTATCGACTTTTAGCGAAAAGCTGCTTCATAATTCACTCAAATTTTAAACTAGTTGGGAATTATAAGTGACGGTAAAAAGCAAACAAGTACAGCTTATAAATAAACTGTGTTATATAGGGATACTAACATGAACAAGAAACCATTTTTCAAAGTAATTTTGAAAAGTTGATTTTATAAGATTTTTCTGCAGGATCGACAATTCTACATCAATCTAAATACAAGCTGCGTAGCCCCCAACACACGTGTTGACTCGTCTTCATATACGAGTACAAAAGGCAAAGTATGTTGGGATTATTTTGAAAAATGCCAAATAGCAGGGCAGATAAATGCTTTAACAAATATTCCAGATACGAGAAGCTCCTGTTCCACCTCAAAGCCGCAGCTTGGAATTTTAAACATTTTCCAAATGTTATCAATTTTCTTCATTGCTCACATTACCTTTTTTAAACTTTAAATAAATATCTGTAAAGGTCTCATCATTTATTTCATTCAAAGCCTAACTATGTCTTTATAGAACAAGCTTTAAAGCCACTATCAACACGTAACAGCATCACTTGTAGAATCGCAATTCAAGTCAGTATCCGCAGTCTCTGTATGTGGCCTAACATAGGACTTTTCGTGCTGCAATTTTTCCTTATCTACATATCCTATATTATTAGACAGAATTTGTATTTCCCTCCATTGATGACAGCCACTGGACTGCAATACTTTCAGATAGTCCAAAAAGGCGGCGATGGTAAGGAGTTCATGATTCTTTAGCTTGCTTACATATGGGCACAGATCATCCTTGACCCAGCAGCGCTCTCCCATAATGTTTTTGAAGCGTTGCACAGACATGTCTTTGCTATTTCGATGACAAATTGATAGCAGAATGCGTTCATGCACAACCTGCTCAGGCACGAAGTTATTTATAAGCTCCAACTGTTCCAGAAATCGTACGGAGAGCAACTCGAAGCGTACGACACACAATAGTTTGTCCAGGTAGGGCAAACGAGTTTCGGGATCACGATAGATCCACAGCATGGCTGCATAGATGACCTTCAAAGGGCATGGCTTATACTACGCACTGCCCATCTGAGTCGATACAACTTACCTCTTGCTCAGTGTGTATGCCAATACGATTCGAGGATAAAAGCGTCTCCACATCCGGGAAGGATAGATCGCCGAACTCGCATGTGCCGACCAGAATTAGGAAGCTTTTCTGCAGTCGTGCCATCATGAGAGTGCTGACCACACTAAGGTTGCGACGACGTGCCTCAATTAAGCATTGAAAGGCATCCAATTCGTTAAAGTAGGTCGTATTTGTAAGGCACTCCCAAATTCTGGCAGTCAACTTATCGATTCCAAGTTGGCGTGATGCCACCAACAAGTCAAGCAGATCCGTACGCTTAAGCTGCATCATATCCTGAAAAATCCACTCATAAATTGTCTCGAACGTATCGGCCGACAGGTTGGCAATATATAAATTCAGGACAACGTCACTTGTCTCGTGCTTTGAAAAGTACATCGAGTGTTCTCTTAACAGCGACAAATTGCACTTGAAAACCTTGTCCCCAATGTTTACGGCCACATCCTCTATATTTTCGTCAACGGACCTACCTAGTCCCAAGCCTTTAATGGGCACAAACTCTATCTGATCCGCATTGATGAATGTACTCAAGGGCACTGTTTTGAACTGCGGAAATAGCTCGCAAGCTGAATGAATCGAAATGAGGGAAAGCATTCATTTGTGGTCTCCCATACTTACAATTTTCATCAAGTGTGCCATTTACATCAACTTCTTCCATGATACGAAAAAATTTAGATTTGCAAAATGTTATTATTAAGTAAAAGTTGTTAAAACAGTGTAGATAGCGAAATATATAAAAAAAAAGAAGAGTTTTCGGAAAATTGTGTTGAACTGACAAAAGCAGCCTGGATAGAGCTCTTAAAATTGTTTAATAATATTTTTCTCTTTCCATCTCAATTGCTTCTCTTAATAATAACAGACAATTCGTTATATTTTTATTACCTATTATTAACAAGATTTGCAAAATGTTATTATTAATTAAAGGTTGTCAAAAGAGTGCAGATACTGAAATATATAAAAAAAAGAAGAGTGTTCGGAAGATTGTGTTAAACTGACAAAAGCAGCCTGGATAGAGCTCTTAAAATTGTTTAATAATATTTTTCCCTTTTCATCTCGTTATATTTTAATTACTTATTATTAACAAGAAAGGCCAGGCCAAAAGAATAATCTCCACCTTGTTAATTGAAGTTAATCGGATGAAAATTGCTATTTTTTGTAAAAACGTTGGCATCCGTTTTACACTAATTGAGGTTCTACTTTTCCAGATTAACTTAAATCTTTTCCACCAGCTTCTAATGTGAACGTAACTTTTCTAAAAAGTGAATTTTTAATTGAAAATTTTTGTTCTAAAGACATTTGATCCTAATTGCATATGAAAAGTGTTATGCCATATTAAAAATTTCAACTGTAGTTTAATAATCACGTTAAGACTGAACTCCTAGTTTAAGCTGTATTTGTATATTTCTATAAGTTTAATTTAAGTTGTTGTAAATAATAACAGTAAATTAAAGTATTATCAAAAAAAAAAAAAAAAAAAAAAAAAAAAAATCATTCATCGACCGGTCTACTTTTTGTAATTATTGTATACATACTTGAAGATTCGATGTCATCATCTTGTGTTTGGAATCTTTCCCAAACATTTTACAAGTCTAGAATTATTTGAAAAACGAATAAAATCATCCTGTGAATTCTGAACACTCTTCCTTCAAATTTATTTCGACTGTTATCGACTAAAGACCTTGAAGACCACATTTTTATATAAAATGTAAATAAATTGTCACGTTTTAACAATAAAGTGTCTTTATATATGGCTTCAATTCTTAGCTTCAATCCTTGTACTGAAAATACAATTTTGTAGAGCGTTGTTTACAGCTTCAGCTGAAGTGTTCAAAAAAAAAATAATAATAATAAAAATTGTTTTTTACCTAAAACGTTAAGTTTGCAAAATATAATTTTCAGATATAATGTTTTGAGAATTATTCTTATAATTGAAACAATTGTATAATTATAATGGCACTAGCATTTCTAAGCTCCGACAAATACAAGCTTATTGTATTTGAAAAAATCTGCTTGGAATGAGTTCCAAGTGTTTTCAAATACACAAAAAGCCGCGAATTCGACTCCATGCGCCTGAGATTACTCTTTCCTTCCACAAACACTTAAGTCTAAATGGCTTTTCATTGTCTAAAGTTTACTGCTGCTTTATCAAAAGAAGGCTTATTAATAACTCAAACATAAGGAACGAACGGAACCGGAGAGATAGAGAGAAGGATATGAATAGGGACGATCAGGGAGGTTGCACACGTAATCACTAAATCAAAACGCCTGACATAAGAAATGTGAAAATTGAAAAACGTTTTTAACGATGAGAACACTGCATTCAGGAGAGTCTTTGGCCAACGCCTTTATGAAGGTGCATTGCCAAAAAAAATAAAAAAATAAAAAAATAAAACAGCTAAGTGACGAACAGGCCGAGCTCAGTGATGGCTTGGCCAACTGAAGACGCCAAAAGCGCGATACTCAACACTTCAAACAAGTTCTTGACACCGATTTCCAGCGGGCCCAGAAGGCCCAGCGCCAAAACATTATTTGCTCGCACTTGGCCGACTCCTTAGTCAAAAGGGAAAATATTTTTTATTGGCCATTTCAATTATCTTAATGCACTTTAATATACGTGCCCGAGTGGGACGTTTTACCGTTTTCAGCGTATTCAGCGCTGGCCGTGTGTGATTGTGATTATCAGCTAATAAGGCATCAATAAATTTTGGTAAGCAGCCCCATCTTCTGCCAAAACGCCATGAGCAATGCGTCCGCGTTGCGCGATCGCCTCGAGATGACGCCGCAGATTTGAGCCGGCAGATTGCAATTAATTTGCAATAACTTTTGATAAATGTTCGAGTGTGTCGGTGTGTGTTTCTCGGTGTGTGTGTGTTTGTGTGTATGTCTGTGCATTGTGTGCAGTCAACTGTTGTGTAGGAAAGTGGAATTAACGTCATGCGATAACAAGTTGACGCGATTAACTGCCAGAGATAGAAGGCTACGATTTTTTGTATGCCAAATAACTACCGTTAGCTGCAGGCCAAAGCCAACAAACAAGATTAAAAGAATACCAAAAATATAAAAAAATAATAAAACGAAAAAAAAGGCTAAGGCTAAGAGCGCATTTAAAACGCAGACGCCAATAAATCGCAGTTGTTGTTATTGTTCTTCATTTTCAGTGTACGTCTATGTAGTTGTGTGTGTATGTGTGTAAATATTTTTAAAATTTGCCACGAAAAATCTCGAAAAATCCAAGAGCCATCTCATTTTATTAACCCGCTATAAAATTTAACAGCCCCACCGACCACGGACAACTAAAATGCCAGAAGCGCTGCGGCAAAATCGCTTGCGACAAATTTGCAGTTGTTCGCGGAATGTGAGAAATTTGAAAAATGTTATCAATGAGCGAAAAGTTAATAAAAAATAATTAATTTCAACTGCCGAGCGTGGCACACACACGGAGAGTGCAGCCAAAGCGTCCGAGTCCCAACAAGGCGTGGCAATGGCAAGGGCGCGCCGGCTACTCCAACCAGCCAACAATCAACAACCAACAGTTGTGCAACATGTCGCAGGAAATTTTGCAGTGGGGTCCATGGACGTACTTGGTTGCCGGGACGTGTGAAAGGGGAGAAGAGGTGCCTAATAGCTGGGTCACATGGACGCACATACGTGTGAAAGGGGACTTTCTTTAACATAGAGTAGAGTATAGCTTGGTTTATTTGATCCAACTTTAGAAAGAGTTACTAAACTAGATTTTTGGTTAAGATATTGGCATGAATGTTAGCATCTAGTATTCGGTATTTAAGATGTTAGTTTTAAGGTGGAAGGAAGGTAGAAATAAATCACATTTTGGATTCACATTTGTTCCTTTTACCTTTCGTACACAACAAAGCTTAATTGAATGTGTAGAGTGGTAGAAATGGTTACTGAACTAGTTCTTTCATTTTCGTTCCTTCAGTTGCTGAACTAACTATGATATTTCGATGAATCGATGTTAGCATCAAGTATTTTAAATTTTTATGTATCTCAGTTTACAAACATTATACAAGACGAGATTTATAATGGAAGGGACGAAGAATTAAATCACACTTTGGATTCAAATTTTTGTTTCTTTTTGCTTTCATATATAGGTTGGTTCATTCGTTATAGAGTTGGCTCGGTCCACTCCGAACTTTAGAAAGGATTACTGAACCAGTTCTTTCGTTTTCGTTCCTTCAGTTGCTGAACTAAATATGATATTTTGATGAATCGATGTTAGCATCAAGTATTTTAAATTTTTCTTATTATACAAGACGAGATTTATAATGGAAGGGAGGAGAAATTCAATCACACTTTGGATTCAAATGTTATTTTCTTTTTGCTTTCGTATACAACAAAGCTTAGGCAGGTTGGTTTATTCGTTGTAGAGTTGGCTCAGTCCGATCCCAACTTTAGAAAGGGTTACTGAACTAGTTCTTTGGTTTTCGTTCCTTCAGTTGCTGAACTATGATACTATATTTCGATGAATCGAAGTTAACATCAAGTATTTTAAATTTTTATGTATCTCAGTTTTCATTATACAATTATTATTATACAAAACGAGATTTAAAATGGAAGGGAAGGAGAATTCAATCACACTTTGGATTCAAATTTGTTTATTTTTGCTTTCGTTTACAACAAAGCTTCCTTATGTCTTATGTTCAAATTAAAACTTTATATTATTTTATATATCTCTTGTGGCACAATATAATATAATACATCATTCAATTTGTTGATTTATTAAAATAAAATAAATAAAAATGAAATTCCCAAAGTTGATTATGATTCGCCATGAAAAGTATCTTCCCATATATAATAAAGATCCTACAGTTAAGTGACGCTTCCACTACATGGCATATGTATAGCCAAAACTCATATGCACTTTAGCGAACTCATATGAGCCATATGAGTAATCGTCTAGAAATATAGTACGCTGTAATACATTTTAAAATTGACATCAAATAATTGAGTGTGAAATAAATGATGGAACGATTAAATGAAGTAAGGGAACTAAAATAATGATTAGTCTGTTCCCTTGAGAGATCTGAGCTGTTGGGACAAGTATAAAGGGTTAAGTGAATAAATGTAGCTTAATTATTGATTACTATTCAAAGGGTTAAGTGAATAAATGTGGCTTAATTATTGATTACTATTCAATTCGAATCGTTTAGCAGCATACATGATTTGCTATTTGTGGTACCCCCTTAGCAACACCCATGGCTATGCCTAGTACTAAGACCAGCAAACAGCCCGATTGTCAATTGGCACATGGGCTGCCGTTGTCGCTGCAAGCGCATTTAAATTGAATAAAAGGCAAAGGAATAAAAAACAAACCTAAAGAGACGATGACAACGCCTCAAACTGTTTATCACTCGTTGCACAAGCGCACCAGCAACATTTGCCAGCAACAATCGCCACTGCGGCAGCAACTGCTGCTGCTGCCGCTGCTGCTGCTGCTGCTGCTGCCGTTATGCGCTTAACATCTTGGCATCCAATCAATTAGTTTTTATGCGCTTCATTGCCAACAGTTGTGCCGGGCCAGTCCGAGCCGAGCCGAGCCAAACCAAGCCAAGCCAAGCCACGCCAAACCAAGACGTGCCCTCTTGCCTTACATCGCCTCCGACTTGACTTGACTTGACTTGCCTGGCCAGGCTTTATGTGGCACTCAGCAAAGTCGTCAGCAGTGTCAGCAACAAATTGGCGAAGGGACGACGACAGTCGGCGGCAGCAACTGGCAACGTGCAACTTGGAACTGGCAACCAGCAGCCTGGCCACCAGTGACTAGTAAAGTTTAATGCGCCATACTTTCTCAAAATATCGAGAGCTCTGCATGCAATTTTCCCCAGACATTTGGCAAGTAAAATATTCAAATGGCTTTCAAATGCCAGCGTCTTGAGAATGTAACAAAAAAAAACGAAAAACGAAATACGAAAAACCCCAAATCTTGTACGCCGCGCTTGCGGTTCTTGCGATTGACAAATCAATTTGGCGATGCGACCCACAGAGTTGTGGCAAGTCGGGGAAGAAGAAAGTGCAACACCTGCTGGTTGTTTGGCTTGGTTCGGTTCGTATCGATTCGATTGTTGGTTGGTTGGTTGGTTGGTTGGTTGGTTGCTTGTTTCATTCGTTGTTACCTTCGGCCCAAAGTATTGTCCACTTGTGTTAATGCCTTTTGCCGTTTCAACTAACTGGCACTTATCCTGTGCGCATTATCGACGCCCCTAGCTCCGTCTGGCGGGCTGTCGATCAAAGGCATTGAACACTTTGCAAATATATGCGCATTTCTTAGCCATCGGGCCACAGTTCGATGAGCAGACAGCGATGCTGCGGCAAGTGTGTCAAACACGTATGTATGTACTCGTATGCATTCAAAGGCAAACACCTCGTCCATCTGCGTTTTCTGAATAAATGCATGAATCCCTGGACATTAATGGCGGCATCAGTTGCCTTTTCCTCTACTATCTGCCTCAATATTCTGCATCTGCATTGATGCGACTCCAGCCACTGGATCGGCTTTTGGCCAAGTCATTGCCGCTTCCACATATAGTCGTTGCAGTCGTTGTTGTTGCTGCTGCTGCTACTGCTGTTGTTGTTGTTGTTGTTTTTATTGTTGTACTTGTTCCTGTTGCATGTGCCATTGTTGCTGTTGTCCAAACATACAACTGAAGTGTTAAAAACATTCCAATGTCAGGTATTGGCAATTTAACTTAACCCATTGCACACTATTAAAGCCTGCTGCTGCGATTTGTTGGCTACAGAGCGAAAAATCTAACGGATTTTATGCTGCTACCATCAAATCTAAGCTAAATTCTTTTCCAGTTTCCAGTTCCTTTCATTATTCTTGTGCGATCCAGCATTAAAATTTGTTCCAATTCCCGAATACTTTTCACAACTGAAACCTTTGCCATTCACCGCCCATTTCAGTTTTGTGTTTCCATTTACTAATAATTATGCAAATTCCGAAAGACAAAGATAAAAATATCCCACAAGTTCAAAAATGAAACTTATCCCAAAGCTGCTCTGCGATTTCTTCGATTATTTTGTTCTGGTAATTATAATTTTAATTGTAAGTAAAAATTTCGTCAAGTTGAAATTGAAAGCGTATCCCATCGCTGCTTTTCGATTTTGTTCTCCGATTTTTTTATGACAATTTCCGAATACTTTTCAAGACAAAAAAAATCGTAATTTCATACCGATTTAGATTTCGTCTTCCCTCTACCAATGAAGTTTCACAACTGAACGTAGGATTAGGCTTACCTCGACCTCTATGTGCAAACAGTAAAGTCCTAGCCCTGGAAAACACTTCTTCGAATCTAACATATTAGGTTACATTCAGATTCGTCAGGAGCTCAGAAAAGAATGTTTACTTATGAATTCCTCAACGTTTTTATGAAGCTATTTCATTATTAGCAAAAGGGAAATCTTAGTCATTATCATCAATTATTATTTTTCTCAATTTTGCCCGCCAGTCTAAAAGGGTATACCAGCTTTAAGCTATAATTATTGACAGTTTTAATTTGTAAAACTATCAACTAATCAGCTGTGAAAGAATTTTAATTCAAAGTTGATTATTTCCAATTGTTTTCATTATAACTTGAGAACAATTATTATTCTCAGCAGCTGCTTTAAGCTACTTATTTGAATTTATTTTTTATTTTAAGCCGAATATCCGATCCAATGGTGGAACAGCTGTTTATTTCAATATTGAATATTTCGATCAAATTTCGAAAAATAAAATTATCTGAGTTTCTAATATGCCTCTTCCCCGTTCAAGCAATGAATATAATGAAATGCCATTATAAATTGAAGAACCATGTCAATCAAGAAAGATGCTTCAACATTTTTGTTTAAATCCAACCAACAATGGCCAATGACAACAACTGTTGAATTGTTGCATCTCCTTTTTTTTTTTTGTTATTTTTGTTTTGTATTTTTATTTTCGTTGCCTCTCAAAGCTGCCAAGTTGCATACATTTGCATCATCAAGCGGCGATGAGCAGTCGAAAACAACGGACAGGCGGCAGGCAGGTCCAGGCGGACCAGGCGGACCAGGAGGCGGTCCCTTGGACCGGCGGATGAAGCGGCAGAAAGAAACTTTTCGAGTTATTCCTGCCTGCCTCGGCTGTTGCTGTCGCTTGCTGCTGCAGTTGTTGTGTTAATTGAGTTGTTTGCAGCTTTTTGTTGGTGTTGTTTGTTCGTTTGTTGCATTCATTCCGTTAAAAATTTTTAAGCACACCGCCTCACTCACTTGTATTCCGTATTCGTTGTTCTATGGCATGTTGCTGTCCATCGCACATTGGAACACAATATTACACGAAATGGAAAATATGAATGCAGTTAAAGGTTCATTTTGTATACTTTGTTCGTATATTTGTATATTTTGTTCGAATTTACAAGCAAATACAGAACCCACTATTTATTTATTTTCTAGATCAGCATGGCAGGACGCGTCAATATTGAATTGTACGTCTGTCTGTATGAACGCAAGCAACTCAGAAAGTATAAAAGCTAGAATATCCATTGAAATACATACGGACGTTGCCTATTATACATACAGGATGTGCCATCTTTTATGTCGGTATGTAAATATTGAATAACTTTGTCATTAGTGAACCAATTGACTTGAGTAGACCAATGTTGAAAACCTCAGTTCAAGAAATTGTACAGAACCAAATCGGTTGTTTATTTTCAAAGATATTCAATGTTTACATACCGACATAAAAGATGGCGCACCCATGTATGTATATTTCGAGACCAATTGTAGGGTCGTTACATTCCATCTAATATTTCCATTGAAAAGTTTGATATTTTCTTAAATTAGGCCACATATGTAGATCGTGTTCAAATACATGATATTCTTCTTCTTTTTTTTTTAATTACATACAATGTTTATCTACCTTTCCACGTCATTTATTTCGGCGTCGATAAACCTTTTTTGAGTTTTGATGTAGCACCATTTACTTTCAAATTTTAATATAAAAAAAGTCGTCAAAAACAATTATTGTGCCGGAAAAAATCCATGAAGTTGAGATTGAAGTATTTTTGAGCAATTCAGAAAACATTATAACGTAACAGAGGAGCCCCATGAAACCCAATAATTTATCCTATAGGTCTTCCAAGATATGATTGCCTATTTCTGCGAAAATCTGCCCAAATTACGATTAAATATTTAGAGAAAAGAAAGGGGTGAATTCTAAGTCGTATACAGACATATGTGCGCCAGAAGTTTCCAGAGAATTTTGAAAAACCATCCACAAAAAATGAATCATGCTCCAACAGTACAATGCAAACTCTTACACATCGATTCCAACTCCACAACATTCAATTTTATTTATTTATTTATTATAATTTTATGTCAACAAACAATGACTGTCGACATAAGGAAACAATATACCTGTAAATGTTATAACAAAAACCATATAAGATAAGAATGCCTAAGTAGGAAAAATCTAATAAAATTACAATAATATCTAATCTAATAATTAGTCTTACGGTTAACTTACAGCCCTGTCTTCCTTTTATTCCAATACATCAATTATGGTAAAGAACTCGGTGACACCTTTAAACAACTTCTCAGTAGGTTATAATCTAACTATTAGTCTTACGGTTAACTTACAACCCTGTCTTCCTTTTATTTCAATACATCAACTACTTAGAGCCAGCTTAACAATTTCCAAGAATTAAAGTTAAGCACCCGGTAACACCTTCAAACAACTTCGTAATAGGTAGCGTGTTATTTCTCACTAATTGGTTCAACCGAATGAGAAAGTACATTGGTCTTCTGGCGGAATATTTTTAAAAACACCTAAGCTATTAAGTATTGTTTTTTATTCCTTTTTTGAAATAACTTAGCATAAAAGGCCGTCAAAAATTTAATATTTAGGCTATAAGTTAGAAGAACGATAGACTATTTGAAGAAATGGGGAATGCTTAATGCATTTTTCTGCAGAATCTGTGGTAAAGAGCATTGAGAAACTGGCTATCAGTCAGTGTAAATAATTGTTGTGCAAATCTCCTTTGTCGAAGCGAACTTTTTCCCCTAAAATGTAATATCTTTATACCAATGTGCTGAACCTAAGCTGACGCGGGTTGTGACGCGGCCTCGCAGGAGTGAGTTTGTTTGCAATTTTACAGCAATTAGTGTTGCTTGTGTACACTGTCAGTAAGTTCTTTGCAGATTTTGGAGTTGCTTGCGCTTTTTTTATGGTTGCTGGTTGTCTCTTAGTGTCTTGCGCATCAGCCACATGACTCATGGGAGCCCCTGTTACTGCCACTGCCACTGTCGCAGTCGCAGTTGCAGTCCCTGCTTTGGTCCTGCCGGTGACTAATAGACGCGATACGCCGAGTGCTCCGCCTGATGACCAAACGTTTAAATTAAAAACAAACAGAATGTTGTTGCCAAATGCGCGAAACGAAATAACAAAAAACGCATGTGACGTTTAAATACGACGGACACGCCCAGTCGCAGTCGCAGTCTCAGGAAAATGGCTGGGACTTGCCACAACAGACAAGGCAAAACCAAATATGCAGCAAGCTATAGACCTCCAGTAACAGCAACAGCAACAGCAACAACAAACGTTTTGTGTCACAAAATATTTGAATGTAAAGTAAAGTGCGGCTCGACTTGGCGATCTTGGTTGCTGTCTTTATTTCTAAACTACTGCTGCGGTTGTTGTTTTTGTTTTTGTTTAGAGTTTTAGTTACCGTCGCTGCTGGGCAAGTGCCTAGACAGTTGACGTGCGGCTGCGCACCGTCCCGTCGAGTATCCATGCCAACCGCTCAACCGCTCTGCCCACCCCCGCCCGCCCCAACCGCTCATGCACCACCACACTAATTGGTCACGACAGGCAAAGGCAGCAGGCATTGAGTTTTGAAAAGCGAAAAGTAAAATCCATTGAATTTGGCAACGGCTGCTGCGATTTTGTTACCCACCGTTGCTGAAACCTTCAATTTGGCGGTATTTGTTGTTGCAGACAACCACAACACAACAACAACAACCACAACACAACAACAACACCGCCGCTCCCACTCCCCACACTTGAGAGCTTCAAAGTTTAGCGTCGCAATTGATTTTAGTCGTCAGTTTTATGGTCTTTTGATTTTTGGCTCTTGATGGCGCAAACATTAAGCATTAACCATTCGGTTTTGTTCGTTTATATTGAAAATTATTTATTTTCAGCAGATTTTGATTTTATTGTCCAATATAAATGTAAGTGCACTTTTAATCTGTTTTTTATGTTCAAGTCAAATTGCACACAATTATTCAAGTTGCAATCAATTTTAATGTTAATTCCCAATTTCATAAATTCTAGACAAATAGCTGTGGAATTATAAAAAATTGCAAATTAAATCAAAATGAAATGCATTGTATTTAATATTAATAATGAGTAGTCACTAGAATAGCTAGCCAGCAAATATCGTGATCAATTAAAAGCGTAATTTAAAACAAAATAGAACAATAGCGATTATGAACGCAAACCTCGAACTAATGCCAACTTTGTTTCGTCTTTTTTGCGGTTACCTCACTATAGTATGTGGTTCAGGGTTGAAAAAATCGCATAGTCACACATCAAATTAAAAGTTCAAGTTCACCCAAGAAGAGGTGAGGTGTCAGCTAAACGACGAAATCCTGCAGATGGACCCTTAGACCAGTTTTGTTCTATTGTTCTTACTATGAAAAGTTCTTAGTGGTCTTCTTCTTGAAAGTGTATTTAAAAGACTTTGTGGAATAGCTGTTCCTACCAAACTACTTCATACAAGTTATTCGAAGACCAATTTCGATTTTAAAAAGAGTGATTGCATTTTAAAATGTTTTGATTGATGCTTTTCTTCGATAATCAATCTGCTTACCGTGTGATTTAAGTTTTTATATCCCCTTATCTACAGATAATTATTTGATAATTGTAGAAGCAAGGTTTAATCACTGCTGCGCATTATATACTTATACAAATTTGCTGGAATACCACAAGTATTGTAAAATTCCAAAAATCAACACCAGCTTAGTGTAGCTTAAATAATCCATGATAACTACTCTCGACTGTCGAAATTACAACAACATTCTTGATATGTAATTTTGTTCCATATTTATACCTTTATAAATAAACAATTTTTTAAACCAAAAGTCTGAAAAGTCTCGATGCAAAGTTGTAATCCGAAGCTATGGGAGGAATGGGAATTAAGATGGAAATCTCGCCAAAACCTTGCAGTGAAGGCTATAATTAATTGATTTACAAAAACTATTTAATTTAATTATGTGTAGCAAAAAATTTCCCATCACCTTAATGAGCCCTAACTGACGTGTTGAAATAAACGCTCAAAAAAAGAAGATAATGTTCAAAATGGGCCGATTCTGAGACTAATAGTGGTGCTTCTGATTGTTATCAACAAAGTGGCTAAGAATCTTATAACAACTAATTTAATTTTTCTATTTATTTATTTTTTTATTTTTTTTTTTTTGAACGCAAGACCCAGAGACCTTTTGTTTAATTATCTTAAAATATAATTAACTCAACCGATCGCGAACAAATTTGCGCAGAGATAAGGCTCGTAAAGTTCTACATTTTACAACCTAAAGGTAAACCGAATCGTAGTATAAAACTCGCTGTTCAAAATTACAAATCATAGGCTTTTAGAATGGAAAGACAAATTTTGAGAGTGCTCGCAATAGCATTTCTTTTCCAAATAAGCCTTGTGGCATCCACTGAATTGGAACGGATCATCAATGGAAAGGAAGCGGAAACAGAGCAATTTCCTTATCAAGTATTTTTTGATGTCGAACACAATGGTACATGGGACCCTACCTGTGGTGGAACTTTAATCTCAAATAGAGTTGTACTAACGGCTGCTCATTGTGTAGATGAGAAATTTCTCCACTAGTAAGATAAACTGAAATTTATCATTGAATATTTGCATACTTAAAGGATTATTTACTGCAGCGATTACGAGTACATACGGATTTACTTTGGCGCCGTGAATAGGTTGAACAGAACGGAGGTGGGACAACAACGACTGGTCCTGCATAGAAGATATATTCAAGTTCATTATGACTGGGACATAATTAATTATTTAAATGATATAGCTCTCATAAATCTACCAGCGGATCTGCTGTTGGATAATTATATACAGCCAGCTAAGTTACCCAAGCGATATTTGGACTATTCTAATAAAAAAGTTGTTACATCTGGATGGGGAAGCACAACAGGTAGAAGTCATCCAAAAGTTTGTCTATTTTTAAATACAATAAATCCATCGCCTAATCTATTTCAGGTGAGCGGTCTGAGCGATCACCAGTACTGAGATACACGTATGGCTCCACTTTAACAAATAATGAGTGCAAGACATCAGTGCTGCAGGCCATGTCCAAAAACGCGGTGGACAACGATTTCATCTTTTCACCAACTTTAATATGTTTAGCTGCGAGCGAATCCAATCCTTGTTATGGAGAATCTGGCGGCCCATTAGTGCTGAACGAACAGACAGAGCAGAGTACTATAATAGGCATTGCTTCGCGGGCAACACATCCATTTTGTGCACCTGGTAACCCCGTTTTGTACACACGAGTCTCTGCTTATTTGGATTGGATTAAGGAAAATTCATACAGATGATATAATTCATCAATTTTTGTAAATCCTTTAAATATTCAGATTATTTAATAATAAGTTTCTTTCATTTATCGATTATTCTAATTTAAAACTAACGATTTGTATTCCATGAAGCTAAATTCCCGTTCTTTATATCATTTTGTATTACTCATCATATTTAAAAGGTGAACATTGCAACGTTCCGGATAGAGAACTGATTTTTAGAAATTTATGAAACAATTAACTCAAAAATATTAAATATGCTTAATATACATTCATATACGAAAAAGTTTATCCAGGTATATAAATAATAAGGCTTTATATGGGTTGTAATAAATTTGTTCTGGATATGAATAAGAAAAGTCTATATACAAAGTGTGGTAGCCGCAGCTGTTGTGGTTGAAAAGTTCTCCGTGTTTATACGAAAAAATTTTGATCATACTATACGAGTATATAAATATAACTATGTACTTATAGTATAGTATAATAGAAGATCTGCGACAACTTTTCTGTCTGTTACGTACACTTGGTGGTTGGGGTTTCAGTTAACTCTTTAAAATAACTTTAATTACTCATAACTTTAAGCTACGACTTTCATTAAAAACTATTGTCTATATGTAATTGGATTTTCAGGAATGGTTAGAAGGATCGATGAAATGTGTGAAACTAAAATGATGCACAAGAACAATTTAAAGATTTTTCGCAAACACCAAATGCATAAAACTGTCTAAAGATGAATGTAGGGTACTTTTTTTCTGGGAGCCGATCAAATTATCGAATTCAGAAGACTGTTTCTCTCACTAAAAATCCGATTCAAAACCCTTTTCAATCTGCACGTGAATCGGTGCGGTCAAAGTAATCGCTTAGCTTCCGAGAATTCCTGTTACCTCACGGTAAGACAAATGGCCAAATCAAAAGAGGGTACATATGTAAGATTTCCAAATGAAATGGAATAAAACAAACAGGCTTATAAATTAACAAACTGTTCTGTAATAAATTATCTGTTTCATAAGAAACAAACAAGTGTTACCTTTTTGGATATCATTTAATTTTTATTCAGATTAAAGCTAAGCTAGGATATTTCTTATACCCGCATTGAAAAAATGTATTACATATATTATTTTATTTAACAAAAACTAGGAGTATCAATTTAAATATTTTATTCAGGATTGTCAGAACGGTAAATAATATTAGGTACTAATATCAAAAATAAGGTTTTGAGTGAATTGTTATCCCCTAAAAGGCAAATAACTCCCAACAAATTAAGGCAGTGCAACGAGGGCTACTATGAGTGAGTGGACTAACATACTGAATTCTGATCTGCCTTTTTATTTCGTAATTTATATGCAAATAGTATCTGCTGGTATCGTTAAAGAACGGAAAGAAAGATAAGAGTTGCTTGGTAAAAGTTTTCTACGAATTACTTAACCTGCCCTCGCACATACTTAGCTACGGCAATTCGTTACGCTTCATTACTCACTGTACTTGTTATTTTTATGATTATTTATTGGCAATATCGCGGCGGCTGCGGCAACAACAATAAACATTTCGGCAGCCGCCGTCGGCGACAGCAACAACCGAAGAAATACAAGAAAGAAAAAAACAAAATAATAACAAAATATCAGCTAAAGACAACGTCATTCATCACATAAAATTTACTTAATGAAATTAATAAATAAATTATGATATAAATCTTGTACAGTCGCTGGCACGACGCGACTGCTGTTGCTGCTGCTGCTGCCGGGGCCGCCAACGTGGCTGCTGTTGTTGTTGCAACATTTTTATTAAAAGCTCTAAATTATTGGCAGCCACATGCAACGCCACTCCGTTGCTGCATTGACTTGCCTGGTGCGAATCGATCGGTGAGGACAAAGCAATCGACTGGTCAGCCAGTCAGCCAATAACAACAACAAGCAAGAACAACAAGCAACAACAACGAACAACATTAACAAGCAAATGTCAATTTTGTTTTTATTTTTATTTTTTTTTCGTATTTCGGCAACTCTTTGCTATTTCTGTGTCTCTTAGTTAATAATTTTTGTTCATGTTGCCGCCACCGATGCGCGTGCGCAGAATGGCCGGCGGCCTAGACAAATCAACAACAACAACAGCAAGCGCTACAAGCTTTTACGTAATATACCGAACTGTTTTCAATTAATTAAATCCAGTATTATTTTGCTCTTTCGGATAAAGTCCTTTAACCATCTCAAGGTGCACTCTGCAAGTATAGAACTTTTATTTACAACCTTATTGTATTTTTGATGTAAATTTAATAAATTTGTGTACAAATTGTTTGCCAATCAGGGCATAGTTTTAGTTGCACTACTAAAGTTTCATAAATTTCATAAGTCCACCATATTCGCTAGATCTGGCCCCCACCGACTTCTGACTACAAACTTGAAGAGATGGATACAAGAAAAGCGGCTTTTCTCAAATGATAATGAAAAAACGCATTTTGAGAAGTTAGATAGGGAGCCCAATGTGTTAAAGATTTATCGCCATTTAAAACTTAATCAGTTAAAGAACAAGAGAATTAAAAAGGAAAAAACGAAAAAATCCTTTCTTGAGAGTTGATTTACGAACGCAACAGATGCATGATAGTTATCAGATCAAAGCTTATGAGAGCTTAAAAACAATAGTTTTTGTATCAATTTGTTTATGTGTTGTTTAAATCAAGTTCAAAGATTGTTCTTCTTATACGTTTTCATGATTAAATATTAAAATCTGGCCCCCACCGACTTCTGACTATTTCCAAACTTGAACGGATGGATAGATGGATTAGAAAAGCGGTTTTGCACAAATGATAATAAAAAAAAACGCATTTTGAGAAGATAGGTAAGGAGCCCTATATGTTAAAGATTTATCACCATTTAAAAATTATTTAGATGAAGAAAAAAAAGAGAATTTAAAAAAAAAACATTTTTTCCATCTCGGCAGTTATTTAAGGCAAAGAGAAATCCTTTCTTGAGAGTTGATTTACGAACGCAACAGATGCATGATATCAGATCAAAGCTCTCATAGTAAGCATAAAAATCAGCTTTTATTTTAAAGCCTTTATAGTTGTGTGCCTAAAATTTAAATCAAGTTCAACAATTCTTCTTATACGTTTTCATGATTAAATATTAAAAGTTGCACCAATATCTTCAAGTAAAAACTTTTCTAATACACGCACACAATTATGTTGATTGGCCAAATAGTTTATTATCAAATGGCACTCAAGGGTATATAGCTTCGTTGCAGCTGAAGATTAACTTTAACATTCGTTTTCCATAGCTTTTCCTCTCGCATATTTTCGTATTTGGCTTTTCTGCGGGCAGTTGATAAATTGTTGCTGTTGTCTTGTGGTCAACGGTACGGTTTTTCTTTTTTGTGGCAGCGCCACGTAAATGTGTCAAATATTGACAATTTATATGAATTGGTCATAGATGCAGGGAGCGCGAGAAAAAAGTCCATTTTCGTACTAGCAAGAAATATGAGTTAAAATCGTTTTTTAGGTCGCTGGCAATTTTTTGCGTTTCGTATTGCTGCGTTGCACTTTTGATTGCTGTTGTTTGTTAGTGTTGCCATTGCTGTTGTTCTTGTTGTTTAAACATACATACATACATACATATATAGATTTTTGTTGTTGTCTTTGTTGCTGTGGCGGTTGCTGTTAACAGGAGATTGTTATTTGCTCCCCGCTGTGCGTACACCGCAAACTGGACAACTTAATTTGGCTAAAGTCGCTTGTTAGTGTTGCTGCTGCCTTTGCAGCTGATGGTGTTGCCATTTGTGTTGTTGTCATTCCTCTTGTTGCTGTTGTTGGTATTGTTGTTGCTGCCATTTTTGTTGTTTCTGTTGCGGTTCGGCCTGTGATTGTTGCTATTGGTGTTGCCGTTGCTGTCGCGGTTTGCGGTCCGTTCACCACATCAATGTTGCACATATGACTGGCCGACAAGACTACAAGCGAATGAGTCCAGACACTTCTGGCTTTTTAATTCAAAGCAATTAGACAAGTTTCCGCATTCATGTAACGCAAATTGGCAAATCAGCACAAAGCAGCAGCAACAGAAACAGGCAGACGCGAAGAGAAAGATAACTAACTAGAGGTTTTTGATTTCCAAGCAATTCTTGTTAAATCCATACTATATGAGTGTCATAGTTAATGTTTTATTTGAGATTTTATGATTTTATGATGCAGACATTAATTTGTATTAGTTAATATTTTTAAAAGAGACAATTCACTTCAGATGAAGCCCTCATCTTAAACTTAATAATTACATGAAAGTATAGGTTTGTTGTAAGCGAAGAAAGACGTAGAAACCTGGTTGCCTACAAAAGGCTTTTAAATGGCCAAATATTTCCTCTACAAAACTAATTACGTACACACAGTCCCAACCCAAGCAATTGTTCTTGTTAACTGCACAAAATATGAGTGCCATAGTAAATGTTTTATTTGGGATTTTATTTCAGCCACTAATTTAAATGATGCAGATGATATTCATTTGTATTAGTTAATATTTTTAAAAGAGACAATTCACTTCTTTTCTTAAACTTCATAATGGTTTGTAAGCGAAGAAAGGCGTAGAGTCCTGGTTGCCTACAAAAGGCTTTTAAATAGCCAAATATTTCCTCTACAAAACTAATTATGCACACACAGTCCCAAATGGACAAATAGCCTAAAGCATATCTTAATAGTCTCCTTATATTAATATTTTACTAGTTAGGTTAAAGGTGTGTTTTCGAACATAAGGTTTGGTGAATGGTGAATAAATAACTGATTTATAAATATAAAAAAGGAGCAAGAAGTTTTCTTAAATTTGATGGACAATACTATCAAGCACTTTTGAACTCCTCTTGAACGAGCAAACGTCAAAGTCTCTTTAGCTTATTTATATTTAAGCTGATAAAGAAAACTGCCATTTTATCAATATTGAAATCAAAATTTCAAAAATTAAAGCCTTTTCGTAGAATTAACTACCAGATTAGCAGAGCAGAGATAAAACCATTCATCTGGAAAATAAACATTTTATAGTTGATATTAA